CACAAATTTGTGCACCTTGAAAGGAACTGTGGGCCATGAGGCTGTGGTAGGCACAGGGGCAGGTATGGGCCCATCCTCTGTGCCCCCACCTGGCCCCTCCCACCACAGCCCTGGTCCCCTGTCTGCCGGCAGCCCCGCTCCTGCTGCCGCCACTCCCACGCACTGATGGCATCAGCCCTGCTTGCACCCACTGACTACGTGGAGTGATTGAGGCTGGCGCCAGGCGCTGGCAGCAAGTGCGAGTGCCCGGTGAGACCACGACATGTGGGAGCAAAGAATTTTTAGTAACCACCAGAGGCTTGCCCCGCCTTGGTCTGGCATCCGTGCTTACCTGCTCCACCATCCTGCCATGACTAATGCCTGCTATGCCTGCCATGTTCTGCGCTCTGCCATCTGCTGCTGATGCCCGCCATGTTCCTTGAGTGCCCCCTGGTGGTCAGCACACGCCATAGTGACCGGTTGTTCCAATGTTCCACCATTCTATTTGCATATTAGGGTTTTATATATATATAGAAGATTATCACAAATGATATCTTTTTATGCTGTGAATTCATTTTACAAATTGCAGTAGCTATTATATTTAAAAAAAAGATGTTTACCTCCTTTAACCTTTATGCTATATTTAAGTGTTTAATACCCTATTCTGAACAAGAGTTGCAATTTCCTGCTTCTGTCTTTCATCTTACAATTTTGTGTCCTTTTTTTGTTTTGTTTCAGGTACAAGAGCTCCTTTGAACATTTCTTGTAATGCTGGCCTTGTGGTAATTCACCTCAACTTTTATTTGTCTGGAAAAGCCTTTATTTTTCCTTCAAATGTATAGGATAACTTTGTTGGTTATATTATTCTTAGTTGGTAATTACCCTCTTTCAATATTTTAAATGTTTGCTTCCACTCTTTCTTAGCTTGTAAGGTTTCTGCTGAAAATTTTAATGCTAATCTAATGGGATTTCCTTTATAGGCTGCAGTTTTCTTTTCCCTGTTTGCCTTGAGAATTCTCTCTTTGTAAAACATTTGATAGTTTTAATATAATGTGCCTCGGAGAGGTACTTTTTGCATTGAGATAATTAGATGTTCTCTTAGCTTCTTGGTTTCCAAGGTCCTGATCTTTCCATATATTTGGGAAGTTCTCACCTATTATTTGTTTGAATAGCCTCTCTGTTTCCTTTCCTCTCTCTCCTTCTGGTATACCCATTATTATTTTTATATTTTTCTTTGTAATGGAGTTAGATCTCATAGAGTTCTTTCATCCCCCTCCCCCTCTCAATTCTCTCCTGCCTGAGCCACTTCTAGATTTCTATCTTCCATATCACTAATTCTTTCTTTCATCTAGTCTGCTCTATTTCCTAAGGTCTTCATTTCATTTCCTGTGTTCTTCAGCTCCAGCACTTCTATTTGTTTTTCATAGCTTCAATCTCTTTGGTAAAGTACTCTTTTTGTTAATTGATTTTATTCCTGAACTCACTGACTTTCTGAGTTTTCTTGTATCTCATTGAATTTTTTTCAGAACTGCTTTCTTGAATTCTGTAATTGAAATCACAATCTCCCATGTCTTTGAGTTTACTTTCTTGAAATTTTTCATATACTTTCTGAACTGCCTTGGTACCTTGGTTGTTTGTAGTACTTGATATATTATTTCTTTGTTTTGGCATTTGAGGAATGGAAATTTTTTAAAGTACCTGATGCCTTTAACCCTGTAGGGGGTTGATTGGTAGAGACCTTTCTTTTGTTTCGCAGTAGATTGTGCTACAGTGCCAATTTTTTGTTTTCTCTAACATTGCTAGGACTTCTGAAATCTCGGTGGGTGTGGTGTTGCCTTTAAAATGGAAAATGCCCCATATTCCCCAAGGAGGTTGGTGTCCTCTATAAGACCCGGTCAACTAGGTCTTAGGGCACCACCCCCATGATGGGTGTGGTGGGCAAGAGGGATCATGGCATGTGAGTTCCTGGCAATGTTTTCCTGGAACCAGAATCCACCAGCTCTGCCATGCTATCTAGGTGTCCCAGCTACATCTACTAGGTTCTTCTCTGATGGTGAAAAAGAGGTGGTTGGATGGAGGGAGGCTGGTTCACATGTCTGTGGCTTTTTTTTCCACTGTGTTTAGCTGCAATGAGTACAGGCCACTTAGGCTAAAATGTTGCTTCTGCCCTTTGTGACCTCCCTCTGTTACTGCCACATCTGCTGAAGTCCAGCGGGCCATGGGAGGGAGAGGGGGGATGGATTCATGTGTCTGCAGGTTTGTTCCCTCCCACCCCTATTCACCTGGTGATGGCAGCTACTTGATTACAGCCTCCACCCTTTGTATGGTTTCTCTGTCCTGATCCCTGGGCTCAGCCTCAATGTGTACAGTCACTCAGGGCAGAATGCCCCCTCTGCCCCCCCCCGGCCTTCCCAGTGGAGATTGTAACCTGACCCTCCACTACTACCATGTCTACTGGGGCACGTCAAGTGCCAGACTGTGTCTGTGGCGCCTGTCTCTGTCCTTCCCCCGTCCTGCCTGCCCTGTTACTCTGATATACCCACTTTCATATGTCCCAATGCATCAGCCCTTCAGACTTGTTTGTGTGTTGCACAGGGAATCCTTTGTTGAATTATAGTTGTCCAACTTGTAACTATAAGGGGAGAGACCAGAAGGTTTTCTCATGCTACCAAGATACTGATGTTCTGTTTCATCAGAGGTTTATTTCTAAACTCGTAGAAAGAACCAACACTAGAGGGACACAGCCTCCTTGGGTTGTAATTTTTTTTAGCCCTGAGTATTTAGAAGGGTGGGAGACTGAGGAGGATTGTTATGCAACCAACCTGTTTGCACCTGGTTTACCAGTTCTTTGACTGTGCTGGGTGGTTCCTGACAACTTCCAAGGTGAAGGCCATGATTATTAGGACTCAGGGAAGAGACCAGTGATGCTGCTAAACATCCTATAATACACAGGACAGATCCCCACAACACAGGAATGTCCTGATACAAAGTTAATACTTTCATTATTTACTTCTCTTTGCTGTCACCTTCATTACAATGTGTGCTACTCATTGCTTCTAAAACAGCCGTGGGCAAACTACGGCCCACGGGCCGGATCCGGCCCATTTGAAATGAATAAAACTAAAAAAAAAAAAGACCGTACCCTTTTATGTAATGATGTTTACTTTGAATTTATATTAGTTCACACAAACACTCCATCCATGCTTTTGTTCTGGCCCTCCGGTCCAGTTTAAGAACCCATCGTGGTCCTCGAGTCAAAAAGTTTGCCCACCCCTGTTCTAAAATATATTTGCTTTAGCTCTTGTCTCTTATAGTTCATAGATGCAGTGTATACTTAGATCTTGTTAACAACATTGATGAGGAATCGTTCAAAATATTATGCTGATTCTTGAATCAACTTTTTAACATCTTTGCCAACTTGATGAGAGAAAACTTTTGAATTTTTATTATTTCCATAGAGAATATCTCTACATATATTTACTGTCATTAGTTTTTCTCTTCTGTGAATTGCTTTTCCTGGTGTGTCCAATAATTCTGCCTAGTAGTAATGGGGAAATCAGATATCAACCAAGGATATTTCTTGAGTTCTGTATAAATATGATTATTTTTAATTATTTGAGTGCAAAAATTAAAGCTACTTACTATATTAGTCCATTAAAAAACCAGTATAGTCATATCTTTATATAATTTAGAGAAAAGAAGAAACTAAACCTCGCTTCAAACATTTTTTTAGAAGACCAATAAAAAACATTAAGCTAGCCTTAACAGGTTTGGCTCAGTGGATAGAGCGTCGGCCTGCGGACTGAAGGGTCCCAGGTTTGATTCTGGTCAAGGGCATGTACCTTGGTTGTGGGCACATCCCCAGTAGGGGGTGTGCAGGAGGCAGCTGATTGATGTTTCTCTCTCATTGACGTTTCTAACTCTCTATCTCTCTCCCTTCCTCTCTGTAAAAAATCAATAAAATATATTTTAAAAAACATTAAGCTAGAATTGTCATTTATAAATGCGTCTCATTTAAGGGAAATTAAATGTATAAATTATCTTAGAATAGAGCAGATGTGATGGGGACAACTGATTACTTATATTAAATAATCATTGATTAGAGTTCCTTCAAATAATAAATGCTCCACTATGGCTTTAAGCACTTTATTTTGGCCAAATTTGATTTTCACTTATTTCTTTAAGAGCTTCTAATGAGAGAGGTTCATCTGTATATGAATAACAGAGCTTTGTCTTTGTGCATTTTACCTAGAATAAGATAAATTGCTCAACACTTTAACGGAGCCCATCGTTGATGGAGATTACTCTGAGCCTCTGAGTGATTACTAATTTGAGTATGTAAATACAACAGGCATTTTCCTGGAGACAAGAGAAATACTTGTCTTGGGAGAAACAACAAGGACTGTAGAATTTATAACTATTCAAATATTAGTACCTATACTTTATGATATTAATAGACTTAATTCATGCTGTAATTAGATATACATTTTATACAAAAAAAGAGGATGAATAGATATAATTAAACGATTGCTTGGAAAAAATACTTAGCTTAACATTTTAAGTAATCAATCAATGCAAAACCAAAATATAATTTATTCAAGTATATCATGCCTTATGACACTAATGTGCTCTTAAAGAGCTCAAGTCAATGTTTTGTAAAATCATTATAAGATAAATCTAGAGTGAATCCTTCACTAAAATAATGAAACATTTTTTCATGTTGCTTGTTTATATGATGAATATTGACTTTCTTTTAGTGCTTAACAGCATTGAGAGACACACTGTTAGATACTCCAGTTCTTCTTTGTTTTCAGGGTCATTATTTTATAGTATGTAGCTGCTTCCATGAATACAAGTCCTGGAAAGTATCTTTCAAATTCTAATAAGATATTAGAACCAAACAATGTGAAGGTTGTTCTAGCTAGTGAAAAACAAACAAACAAAAAACACTGGAGTTTTTATTCCTAAATAATGAAATGATGCTTCTTGAATTAAATAAGAAGGCAGCAAATACAATAAAGTGTTGCATGTTCTCAATATACATCCATTTATTAATGCATATGCCACAGGATCACATTGCACTATGCATTTGGAGAAGTCATTAACAAAGCAATTGCCTAACAATTTAACATGAATTAGTGGATTTCACTGGTCTGTGTTTTCACATCCAGGAGCAGAATGGTTCTGAGATTCATGATAATATTAATTTTGTTCTTAACATACCAGACCAGCTTGTTCACAAAACACAATCATTGTAATTGGTTCTTGTTTCTGCAGGTATATGTTGTCCACTAACAGTTATGAGCATGTTTCAAAGTACTGTTCTACAGCCAACTATTTAGATAGACTCCAAAAGTCAAACCATAAAGATACAGCAAATGCAAATATTCATGAAGTATTTCATATTCAAAATCCAACTCAGTTATTGTTTTCCTATTTCATCTGATGCATCTTGGTCTTATAAATAACATAAATTACAAGATTGTAAGCAATTTCTTTAGATTCTGTTTTACATTTTTCATTAAGTAGATGAAGACAAGGCTTTTTGTTCCAGTGCAATATATAGTAATGCTGTATTTAGTACAAATCGTTGAATATTTTTAAAAGAAAAAAGCATTTAACTGATTACAGTGCTAAGTAATTAAGGAGTTAGTCATATCTGTCAGAGGGAAAACACTAATGGTAGTTACTTATCATAGATAATTTTTTAAAAAAACTTTCCATCGCATGACTTTGTAAAGAATGAAATTTGATAAAGCCAAGACATAATGCTAGGTGGCAAGTGCATCAACTTACCCTTTTAACAAATGTGATGTGACTGTGGCAGTTTTGAAGAACAAAGTTTTGTCAATATATCAAACATTGTTAACAAACTATTTAGCATTGCTTTGTATAAGTTTGCTTTAATAGCATTTCTTCACAGTGATATTTCAGAAAGGTTGGAAACTGGTCAGCATAAAATATTTCCCACCTTTTCTATTTTAATTTGTATGCAAAAATCATCACAATATATCTTCAACTATAAAATTACAAATGCTTTCTAGTGGCGACTGCATTTCTAGTTATAATAGAAAAGGGTATTTCTAAGACATCTACAATGAGGTGAGTCTAAATAAAACAGAATTTGAGTAACAAATCTTTCTGATCTATGGGCAATTGAAACTAATGTAACAAAAACAACTAATAGATGAACTGAAAAGACTTAATTGTTTTTCAGTATGCTTAGTGGGTGCAAAATTGTTAATGAGATGCAATAAACATTTAAAAAGATCTGGATATTTCACTTTACATCATAATTTTGGCACTTCATGGAACATTTATTTCCCAAAGACCAGTGATGGTATGTATATAAGTTCAGCAGGTTTTCCACGTACCTTGTAGACATTGTATGTGATTACTGGCAAACACTGAGATGTAGTGAAATAAACATTCCCATGTATTTGCACATGCATGCAGTAGTCAAACAATTATAGTTTGTGCATTCTCGAAGATGGTATCTTCAGTATTCCTTTCAAGCACTCTCTTCAGCAGATCTTGTTTCAGATTTAAGTCTTACAAATTCTTTAGCCACGTCATCGCTGGTCCTCTGAGAGAGTATTCTAAGAATAGTCAAACCGGTGTCATCCATAGAAACATTTTTCAAAAGGGGATACCATGCCCCATAGCTTCCCTTTTCTGCTATGCTCTGTAGCTGAATCACTGTCATTCCGATAATTCGATCTTCTCGGGCAAAGCAGTAATCCTTAACTGAGAGATGAAGTTCATAGGCTCCTGGGTGGTTTTCATTACCCAGAATACTGTGTGGATTAAAATTATAAATTTTGAGAAAAAATTTTATTTCACCTAGGGATCAACACAGTTCTAAAAATGCTATACATTTTTATATTGGGAAATAGAGTCTCACTTTATTTTAATTCTGATTTTTAAAATTTTACTTAGACTGTCTTTACTTAGATATTACTTATAATGTAACTTAAAAACTCCTTCTTTCCCTAGATATAAAAAGGAACTCCATCTAAATATGAATTTGTGCCCTGATGTTAAACATATCAATAGAAACTGGAATTAAAGCATTGTGCTGTACTTAATCATTGAAGTCAGGATCTCCCCTCTGATATAGGTGTAGGATTGGTTGCTGGAGATCATGGGAGCTAGGCTTGGATAAGGGATATGTCAGAAGAATTTCGGTGTCATTTCAACATCATTTATTAAAACCTCTTTTATTTACCTCAGGCTCCTGAATATGTTGTATCTAGGAGCCTTTTCTCGGGGGAATTCACTGCACAGACTACCAAGCACTATTCACAAGATGCTAAATTGGATACAAATCTCCAGAGCACATTAGTTCCAGCAGAGGCTGATTCTTTAATGCCACTTCTTTCATATGGCAACAGTTAGGCTGCCAAGTGTGGGGCTGAGGGTGGCCTCTACTAATAACAACGCAAGACAGCTTGTCAGTGCACCACTGAGTGTAATGTAGAAGGCTGGGCCCTGATATGCTGAGAACAATTCTCTCCTGCACTTTCCTTCAATTCATTCTCAGATATTGATTTTCTCATAAATGCACATCTATTGCTCAGCAGAACAGCATCCACATTCCTTCCTATTAAAGTGACTTTTTCTAATCAAGCATGCTCTACCAGCCGTGGGTAAACTACAGCCCGCGGGCCGGATCCAGCCCGTTTGAAATGAATAAAACTAAAAAAAAAAAAAAAAACCGTACCCTTTTATTTAATGATGTTTACTTTGAATTTATATTAGTTCACACAAACACTCCATCCATGCTTTTGTTCCGGCCCTCCGGTCCAGTTTAAGAACCCATTGTGGCCCTCGAGTCAAAAAGTTTGCCCACCCCTGCTGTAGACACAAACTTTTGTGAGCTTGATCCTATGTCTCCCTCTCTTCTTTATCTGTCCCTAGTTCAGATTATCCAGATTTGTGGAATGAATTTCATCTATATGCAGATCATTTGCAAGTCATATTCAACTATATATTTGCTATTTCCTCTTGGGTGTCCAATAGGCATTTCCAAATCAAACAAAATCTCTGATTTCCATATCTCTTGTCCCTATGCCCCCATCTCAGTAAACAACTACCCCAAAATCTAGGGGGTATCCTTTATTTCCTTCAGTAACTTCCATTTGCCCTAATTGGATGTACTCCCCATCTTTCTTTTCACACTTTATCATAAATGGAATGCTGGCCTGTTAGGCCTATAATAGAGTTTCTCTGTGTTCTGTCTTCCAGTGGTTTTGGCCAAAAGGAAGTCCTGTCACGAAATCAGAAGTAATGAGGAGAGTAAGATCAGAGTCTTTGTTTCTGGCTCCTTGCCTGTGAGGCTGATTCCCGACACGGAGGGCCACTGCTCTTTTAAGGTGGCCCACTGCACCAGAAGTTTTCACTTCCGCAATTTTAATAATAACACATTCTCTCCTTTCTCAGTCAGAGTCTTTGTTTCTGGCTCCTTGCCTGTGAGGCTGTTTCCCCACAAGGAAGGCCACTGCTCTTTTAAGGTGGCCCACTGCACCGGAAGTTTTCACTTCCCCAATTTTAATAATAACACATTCACATTCTCTCCTTTCTCAATGCCCTAGGGGCCACATCCTGGCCACTACTTGCCCCAGGTTATATTTCTTGTAGTCCCTCTACTCTTACATCTTTGTAAATTCCTTTGTACATAAGTCTGTCTTAAAATATTCTAAATTGAATGTTCTCAGGAACCTAATTATATTCTCTTTCTTTCATGTTTTACCTCCAGTCCACTGCAAGTTCTATAGAACCTACTTCCAATGCATACCCAGAATCTTTCTACTACTTACTTCCATTTCCTACTACCATCTCGCCAGTCACTGTTGTCCCTTACCTGGACCATTGCAAAAACCTTCTAACTTACCTTTACATATTTGGTCTTGATTCCCTGTAACTTTTCTCTATACAGCAAACAGAATAGTCATTTAAAGATGTAAACCAGATCGTTCCTCCCTTAATCTGAAAATCCTTCAAGGTCTCCTATTGAACTGAGAAGCCTACCTAGTCCCCTTTACCCTGACCGCGAAGCCTTGAACCCTGATACCCTCTTCAAATTCAGTTCACCTCACTCTCTTGTCCAGTATATACTGTTTCTTAAATTGGCCAGGCAGGCTTCTGCCTTGGGGTCGTGGCACTGACATTTTTGATTGGCCTGAAATGCTGTCAACACTCCTCTGTATGACTGATGTTTTACTTTTTTTAGGTTTCAATTTAAAACTCAGAGAGGCTTCCCTGAACACCAATGTAAGTAGCCAAGTAATCACTCTATTGCATTGCCCTGTTTTAATTCTTTGCATAATACTATCATAATAGGTTTTTGTTTATCATAAGTTCCTCATCTCTAGAAAGTATATTCTATGAGAGCAGAGAAATCCTATTTATTATACATACTCAATGCTTATAGTATTTCCTGATACATGGTGGGCACTGAACAGATACTGACTGAATGGAAGGAACTAAAAACATAGCCCTTTTCATCTGCCTGGGATCTGTGATGCTCAGTAAGTAAGTTTAGTTACACAGTGACTATTGCCTGGTTGAATAAATGAGTTGGGTCATGACTTACAACTGAAATGTTTCATTGTACTTGGGTGACCAGGTGTTGCTTTTTGTCTTTGTGCCTTGTTTTCTCTTCTTGTCTCCAAGATTGGGTCCCAGCATACAAACTTCCACAAAGGGGCGGAACATGGCGGTGGTCTGCCAGTTCAGGTTATTAATAGCCATCACTATAAAACCAAAAAGGGAATGGGATACAGAGTGTTAGCCAATGAATGTGTGGAATCTCTGCCTCTCCCTTTTGGTCCTTACAATGAATTTTTGTTTTAAAAAATGATGAAATGATGTGTGAAGCCATAACTTGTATTTGATAGTGTCCTAACTCCAATGGTAAGAAAATATTCTTGAAGAAAAACATTTCACTCTCTGGAATGCACACTTGATGGGACTTTCAGCTCTTAGTTGTGTGACACTGGAGTGGTGAAAGTTATCATTCCTCTTGTGTGGGTAAAAACATGATGTTTTTCATATTAAAAATAGTGTTTATATCTATCATTAAATATTTAGAAAATAGATTTAAAATCTATAATTTTTCAGAGGCAATCCCTTAATATTTTGTGTATGGTTTCAACATTTAATTCATATATAGAATGGCATCATAATATATTGCAGTCTTATAAGTAGCTGTATTTTTTAAGTTCATCATGGATATCTTTCTAATTCAATATATTCAATATTTTCCAACTGCAAATATTCCACTATATATATATATATATATATATTCCATCCTATATTTAACCAATCACCTATTGTTAAACACAAACACAGTTGTTTCTTAATTTCAAGCATCACACATAATTCTTAAGTGTACCTTCTCATATTTATACTTTGCCCATTCTTTAATGATGATATTCTTAAGGAAGTATCTTATAACTAAAATTGCTATTGCAAAAATTTCATAAAACTTTGAGCACTTGCTTTACAGTGACAAAATATTTTAGGATACTGGCATGTATAGGCATTCACATTTATCTGTATTTTTCTCTACATTGCACGTAATTTGTTATAGATGATAGATAGCAGTGATATTTTTATAATACAAAGATCCATTCAGTAATGCAATTTTAAATATATTAGAAAGGCATAGTTTTTATTGAAGTGGATATTATTTAGAATATGGTTCTATTGAGCAAAATATTAACCATTTAATTTCATCTTTGAAATGACCCTTGCATTCAGGTGATATTTTTACAATATAAACCAATAGATTAAACTATCATTTAAAAACTCAAATCAGTTGTTGAAAATAACTTAGAGAAAGAATTAGGTAGGTTATGA